GAACAGAGTTCCAGTAAGAAGCCGTGACCATTGAAGCTTAACCTTATCAGGTGCGAGGCAGTTACCCATCGAAGGCAATAGAAGATGGTCGTGCAATATCGTGGATTGATTGGGGTTAGATGTTAAAACTGTCGGATGCCAACTCAGTGGTCTAGAGACTAAGCGTTCGTACGAGACCGAAAGCCCGGGGTCAGAATCTTGCGTGTGGAGCGGTGGGTGCGCACTTTTGATGAGACCCAGACCAGGACGAAACGACCATCCAGTACTTCCAGGTTTTCAAAGATTGTATAACCTAGATCGTTTCATGGTTTCGATGACAGTCACTTAATGTCTGCTTTGGGGCATGAATTAAGTTTTTGATCTATGCTCTTTCTGGTGTTCCGGTCGATGGCACGTACAAATTATATTTTAGCTGTCTTCCTAGTCTGTCTACTGAAAGTGAAGTGGGTTTGCCAAGATTTCGGAAGTTCTTATCCATGTGCTGGATTTTAGTTATCAAAGTTATTACTTACATACTTACGCCTGTTACTCCTAATGGAGCATAGGCCGCCGAACAGCATTCTCCAAACCAATCTGTCCTGGGCCTTCTTTTCTAGTTCCATCCAATTCTTGTTCATTTTTCTCATGTCTATTTCCGTTTCTCGGCGTAATGTGTTCTTTGGTCTTCCTCTTCTCCTTTGGCCTTGGGGATTCCACGTGAGAGCTTGCGTTGTGACACAGTTGGGTGCTTTCCTCAATGTGTGTCCTATCCACTTCCAACGCTTCTTCCTGATTTTTTCTTCTATTGAGATCTGGTTTGTTCTCTCCCACAGTAGGTTGTTGTTAATTGTGTCTGCCAACGGATCCGAGGTATTTTGTGTAGACAACTGTTCATAAACACTTGTATCTCCTGGATGATGGCTTTCATAGTTCTCCAGGTTTCTGCCCCATACAGTAGAACTGTCTTGATATTTGTATTGAAAATCCTGACCTTTGTGTTAGTTGACAGTTGCTTTGAGTTCCAGATGTTCCTCAGTTGTAAATATGCTGCTCTTGCTTTGCCGATCCGCGCCTTCACATCTGCATCAGATCCACCATGTTCATCAATGATTCTGCCCAGATATGTAAAGGTTTTTACATCTTCCAAATCGTCTCCGTCAATTTTGATTGGATTGGTGCATGCTGTGTTGTATCAGAGGATCTTGTCCTTCCCTTTGTGTATATTGAGACCTACTGCTGCTGAGGCTGCTGCTACACTGGTCGTCTTCTCCTGCATTTGTTGTTGCGTTTGGGATAGAAAGGCCAGATCATCTACGAAGTCTAGATCTTCCAACTGCATCCTAGATGTCCATTGTATCCCGTGTCTCCCTTTAAATGTTGACGTCTTCATGATCCAGTCGATCACCAGGAGAAAGAGAAACGGTGAGAGTGAGCAACCTTGCCTGACACCGGTCTTTATTTCGAACGACTTCGTCAACTGTCCTCCATGCACGATTTTGCAGTGTGATCCATCATATGAATTCTGCATGATATTGACTATCTTCTGAGGCACGCCGTAGTGTCGAAGATTCCATAGTGTTGTTCTGTCTACGCTATAAAATGCCTTTTCGTAGTCAATGAAGTTGATGTAGAGTGATGAATTCCATCCAGTTGATTGTTCCACAATGATCCGTAGATTTGTGATTTGGTCTGTACACAATCTATCCTAACGGAATCCTGCCTGTTGGTCCCGAAGTTGAGCGTCTACGCAGTCCTTCATCCTGTTTAACAATACCCTGTTGAAAACTTTCCCCGGTATTGAGAGAAGAGTGATGCCCCTGTAGTTATCACACTTGCTGAGATCGCCTTTCTTCGGTATTTTGATCAGAAGTCCTTCTTTCCAGTCTGTTGGTACTTGTTCCTCATTCCAAATCGTATTGAAGAGAATGTGTAGAATCCTCGCAGTTGCCGCTACGTCTGCTTTCAGTGCCTCTGCTGGAATGTTGTCTGGTCCTGCTGCTTTGCCACTCTTGATTTGTGTGATGGCCATGCTTCGATGTTGGGTGGGTTCAGTGGAGCTCGTCGAATCAAAGTTATTAAACGAGCTAAAATGTTATCTTCTTTTGAATCATGTGACGAACACAAATGACAAAAATTTTCTCAGTAATCTACTACCTGAGGAATATTTCAGTATTAAACTGCACTTAAGAGGACTTCTAACAGAGATGTGTAGCGTGGTGTCGAGTCGAAATTGACTATGAACACCGCTACCAAGAAACACGTGCCAAGTAGATCAGAAGGCGTAGGTTGAACGTAACCAAAGAAACCCATAAAATCTCCGAGAAGCCAAACACCGTATCGGTTGTTGACTGTGCGACTAGTCGCGGAAACGTACGGGTAACCGTACTCGGCGACCGGAACGTGAGACGGCAGTCTCGTTCGCGTTGCGTGGGCCTGCAATCTCATCCGAAGTCAAGGGCGGCGTGGTCTGCTGATCTGGACGTGAGACTGTCGTCTCGTCCGTAGACGGTGCAGATGACGCGTGCTGTTGACTGGGACGTGAGAATGAGGTCTCAGGTGTATCTAGCGTGAGACCTGAAGAAGATTTAAGGATCCCGCTAAGTTTGATAGGTCAAGCATTGAATCTCAGGTTGCCAGATAGGGCACTGTCATCGACGTGTGCTGGTTTGAGACGATCAACGCTGACGATCTCGACGCGGCCGTGTCGATCAACCTTGAAGGTCTTTTCGTGACGAGCGATCACGTGAAAAGGGCCTTCGTAAGGTTGTTGCCAAGGTTTGCGTACCGAATCTACTCGTATGAAAACATGCGGACAGGTATATAACTCTCGAGAGAGAGCGACCTGTCGATGTTGTATTCGAGTTGACACCGGAGACAGCGTTCGCATAAATGCAGACAGTCGATGGACGTAGTCTGATTTACCGAAATTAGGTCTGCTCCGTGGTGTGGAGAATTCTCCGGGCAGACGCAATGTCGTGCCGTATACCAGTTCAGCGGCGGAACATTGTATATCTGCCTTCAAGCTCGTTCGAATACCTAAGAGGACGAGCGATAAGGTTTCGTACCAGTTGTCGTTCTCGTGTGCTCGTAGAGCACTTTTAAGTTGGCAATGAAACCGTTTACTTAACCATTTGGTGCTGGGTGGTAGACAGATATGCTTATGCGTATGCATTCCGTACCAAGCAGCCGGGTCAGCGGGGAGAATAGTTAATAGGGGAAAATTTCTCGAATAAAGCGTGGAATTCATCATCACGCGAATAAAAAGTGACAAGGATTCGGTACACATACATGTGAGTCTATTATATTAATACTATTCTTATCGTTATCCGTCATGTCGAGTATATTATATATTAAAAAATATGAAAATATACGACAGACGTGGATAGATAAATCATAGACTCACCGAATTGGCTTCTTTGGAAGATTTGACCAGAAGCTGAGGCGTGTTCCAAAATACGGGTCACCAATTGTAGCGTGGTGTCGAGTCGCGGTTGACTATGAACACCGCTACCAAGAAACACGTGCCAAGTAGATCAGAAGGCGTAGGTTGAACGTAACCAAAGAAATCCACAAGATCCCCGAGAAGCCAAATATCAGAAGGCAATTAATGGACCAAGTCGAGTTATATTTGCTGGCGATCTCGTGGCATCGAGAGGATACCGAGATCGTGCCAGGATACAACCTTGGTTACAGAAGGTAACTGAATTCGCGCGAAGTTACAATCGAAGTGCGGGAATAAGAATGGAAGTAAAATATAGCTGTCATTAGCACAGTCAAACAAAAGCACGTTAAAACAAACACTGGTACAGTTGGTTATAATAATAATTGTTTTTATTAAACCAGTCGTGTTCTCGTGATAAACGTGAGTTACTACAGATGTAACACGAAAGACCTTTATTGCTATTAGAAATATTCCAATTAATGAGCTAACCACAGATCAAAGTATTTCAAATTTTCACAGACTGAAAATCAACCTCAGTTACTGCCTCGTGGTTTTAATTCCTTGAGTATTTATACCAGCAATCTCTTGATCATGAAGTCGAGTTTCCGATTTTTCTCCAAAATTCCACTTCGCGGCGTCTTTCTTTAGTTCAAGTTTAAAGTCTATAACGTTTTGATCATTTGTCACTTCGTTTTATGAAACTTGCTCTCTCTGCATTCAAAGCTGACTGCATATGACGAAATAGTAAGTCCTTGAAAGATTCATACGACAAAGAAATTGGTTCTTCTGGAAAAGCCTGATCCTTCAGCAGATGGTAAGTTTCTTTTCCGATGAATGTCGGATAGTAGGCTGTGAACTTAGTATCTTTAATATCTTTTCCAGTCATGCAGCAAGCTTCAAGTCGCTCTATCTAGTTTTCAAAGTCATCCCAGCTTGGATTATTATCCAACTGTCAAAGATTCGATTCCAACGCGACGTGATAACTAGAAGTATTCGGACTAATGTTCAGTCTAAGAATTCCCGAAATGACACATTTCAAGAGAGATAAGATTAGATTATTACTAATGAACGTACTATATTTTGAATTCGTAATAAGCGGGCAATCAAGTACAAAGGAATCATCAGTTATGAAATTATCTGCGGTGAACTGTAGTGATGATATCCTCTGTTGAATCTTTTAAATGAAGGCCCCACAATAATTTTAGCCCTGTAGGTACTAATGGATATCTTTCAGAGCGTTACTAGTCTATCATTTCTATTATTAACCAAATTATTTTGCCTCTTAGTTTCTAAAAGTAATGAATAACATACCTCCCTGCATCCGTGATTACACTTAAGTTATCAAAAACCTGATCCTGTCAAGCCAAACTAAGAGTCGAATTTCAACGAATGAACATATTTTTAGCCAAAAGCTTTATACATTAACTAAAGGTTCAACAAATTTTAATAACTAGTACACATCATGATTTAGTTCTCAAGTATTTACTAATGATGATTGTTGAAAATGAAACTTGGCATCTTTTACAAGTAGATAATATTAATGCAAATAACCGTACACCTTACTTTGTTTAATCCAATCAAAATTATGTGATTTCGAGCTGTGCCAACTTCGATATTTTTTTCCCTGTATGGCTTCCAACTGTGATACTCCGCAGGATCTTGATCCCAGCAGATTAATTATAAAAGTATGGGAATTTTTTGCAATTGCTGCAAGCGGATTATGCCAATTATATAAAGGTATAATCTGAATTCGAAGTCAGTAATACTTTGTAGGCAAAATTGATCACTGTGCTGATTTTCAAAATTTACTGGATACGCTGTCTTCGATTGAAAGGTTCTATAGAGGTTTGTCTTCCACTATTGTGTGTGTATTAATCTATGTCTTGGTAAAGAGTTGGCTGTGCAAGCGTCGCATCGACCACATGGTTTTCAAGCATTTTACTGAACAAAAATTCCTAGTATTCCTAAGCTTATTGTATCTGGCATCTAAGACAGATTATCCCTTGAATGTGTTGATAAATACATTCAATAAAGTAAGAATATAACTCCCCTGTTCTGTCTCCATCAAACAACAACAGATTATGAGATAATTATCATCAACGTTACCAGTTGTCTCATAAGTTTCTCATCGTCAGGATGCTTGAAAACTAACAGTGTCGTCACGGTCTTAAAAGGTGACTAGTTCATAGAAAAACATACTTTATCGCTTGAGAGCTCTACTGTGTTCGTGACAGTCAAATGTATTTACGTCATCACATCCCAAAACTATGTATCTAAGGAACGTTCCACACTACGACGGTAGTTTTAGGACCATAAAGAATAATTACGCAATGCTCGCTGTTCTCTGCTTGTAAAATCTTTTAAAACCCAATGTGACTTTGTGGTTTCAATTTGTTTGACAAACTAGTTTTCCATTTTATGATTGCGAACTATTTCGATCACCATGGACGCTCCACAATATATATTTCTCAGTGATGTTTTATGCGTTTTGTGTTGCGCACAAATATATACGGCACTTTACGATGTTTCTTTCACTCTTTGCTGATTGTCGATAACCAGTTCAGTTGCACTCATGCTTTAATTCTCGTATCCAAAGTATATAAACCTCCAGTGTTATTTCTATCTTGTATTTGTAGTCCGTCTCAAAAATATCATGTCAGAAAAAAACCTAGTGAAGATTCAAAGGAAGTCTCTCCAAACGTATTTTGTTCATCTCAAAGAATCAGTGCTAGATCCCCATTTCCTGGAATTAGTTGTAACGTTGGCTTCTGTTTTTAGGTCTCTATTAAATCAACTACGAATGCCCTATACATTATATTGCTTCGTGTCATTAGATCTATGATTATAGAAAGAACCCATAGATGCATCAAAACAGAACAAGTAAATGAATAAGATTGTAGATGACAAAATGAGTCATGATGCAATAAGCCTATGAAATACACTAGTCAAATTGACTGAAGTGTATTGTTCCTACCCTCTATCCAGTGATTGTAGAGCAGTGGCTTAGTGTTTAAGGGGTTTGACATTCAGCCACTACGACCTCAGGTTCGAACCCGCGCCTATCTACCTCTGTTTGGGCAACCGGAGGGCATTGTCACCCTGCGGACTTAAAGCGTGGCTCCTATCCATGTCCTTGGAGGATGATTCTACCCGATAATCGGTACATATTTTTACTAAATTTAGTATTTCCTAACTCATAAATCCGTGTAAACTAAGTTTAAAGTCGAACCGCGGCAACTAGCGTTCCCTATTGCCTTAAATCATATCTAAAAACGAGTATAAATCGTACAAAGTGGTACTTCTTTGCAATTTAATATTCTGACTCAAGTAATCATTTCCTACCGTAAAACATTGTTCTGATTTTAATTGAATGAAAAATAACCCAAGTAACGTATCCACCAAGTTAATGTTTTTTAGTAGCCCAAACTAACGTACTACGCTCATGTGATTTTGAGATGGCGGAGAAGACTTTTAGCTCAAGTGGATAATTTTGATGGAGTTTTGTTCTCTGAGCTGGATGGTTTGGCCGTGGAGCTTTCATCGTTATCCTGAACGACATCACAAATTTCAGGTAGAAGTGAAATGTTCGAACTTCTCCACATATGACTCACAGCTTGTCCTGTAGACCTCGATGTTGATTGTTTATTGCTGACCTTTAACTTGTCATTGTTTACTTTATTTTGATTGTATCTCTCATTGATTTGGTTCACGGTCCTATATTTATTCATAATTTTTCTGACTGTTTGGTAATTTGGATCAATTTCAATGTGCTTGTTGATTGCTGATCGACCTAAGTGCCAAGCTTCTGAAAGTTGTTTGGTGTTTTTAGAATTACTTCTATCCAAGATCTCAACATTTTTCCGGTCGAATATGTGTCCACATTCATTGGTATAAGCGAGGATATGTCGTTGCGCTAATTGATACTCGTACAGGCGAAGATGAAGAGGGTTTCCACTTTATCCGACGTAGTGTTTTTCATAATTGGAACAATTTATTTTGTTGATGAGTTTCGGTTTTTCTTCTTTCGTCATTTCGTCCTTTGGTTTGCATAGGATTAATTGAAGTGATTTTGTTGGTTCGTGTGCTACACCTATTCCAAAAGGCTTTAACGATCTCGTAGTTTCTGACATGCCTTTTATATATGGTAGGATGTTCTGTTTACTGGTTTCTGTGTTCGATTTTGTTTCTGAGTTTGTACGCAGTTGATTTTGCGAGCTCTTGAGTTATTGCTTCTGTAGTTAAGGATTTGATATATGTGGGTCGGATTCCGATATACTTAAGTCTTCAATTTTCCAGAAGTTTGTGTTGATGATGTCGTTCAGAATAACGATGAAAGCTCCACGACCAAACCACCCAGCTCAGAGAATAAAACTTCATCAAAGCCCAAACTAAAGTAGATGGAACGGCGTATAAACCTAGGACTCAGTAGCTGAAGGTCGAACCTCTTAACCGCTAATTCATAGGTAGGTCGACACATCTGTTCCTAGTAAATAGTTCTTGATATAAGGAATATACTTGTAATTTCTAAGCCTTCTCTCTTCGCATCACCCAATGTTAAAATCTTTAGAGCTGATTCGACTCCTTAAACAAATACTAGTTATTTTCATGAAGCTCTTATTTCACTTATTGCAGATAATTTCATATCCTTAGTCACACTACTAACTATTAATCTAACATAGATTTGCACGTGGTTGATGGGTTACTCATTGATGTTTCTAATATCTAAATTCGCTGTGAAAAGCTTGTGGTTTCATTTATTTAAAACCACTATAGTTTTTCATTACAACGCATGTAGAACAATGACTTTATACTAACCGTTCATTAATGCTTCTCTTATTATTGAATGTGATATGTCTGAACTTCACAATCTTTTACTACTTTAGGATCTGAGAATTCTGTAGAAGCTGCACTAAGCTATGGAAAAATTGTCGGTTCTCAATATCTACGCCTTCATTTGAGAGATTTAGCTTATGAGAATATTCAAACTACTACAGGGGACAATGGGGTTGAAGTTTATGTGCCTTTGGAATCATTATTGCTTGGGAGCACTAAAACACTTGGTCGTTCCAAGAAACTCCAAAGAAAGCGTCCACGCCATTGTGTTTATTGTCCTCGTTTATCTAAGAGAATTGCTTTGGACTATTGCGGTCACAAGCGTTGTCGTAATAGATGCTCTAAAAACAAACGAACATTCTTTCCTGTTATGAACACCGTCTTAGATGATTCAAATTTGTATGGCGTCATTGATGGTCTCAATGGAGATGGATCTATCAGACACAACGATGAAGTAGTAAAGTCTATAGTGCCTAGTTCGTTATCGGCATCAAAAGGTATACAACATTACATTTCGTGGTTATTAGCAGTATTACCACTTCTGTTTGCTCTGTTATCACCGTTATAATTTTTCTCTTTTACGTCTAAAACTTGACATTTCTTACTTTTATGTTGTCAAATGTTAACTGTCTACTCATTCTAACTACTTCCAAGGATTCGTTTGTGCTCATATTTAATATTGTTAGATATATTGATTTGATCACAGCAGTCTCGGACTCATTTGCTTTATCATATGGTTTAGAGAAAAACAACAGCCATAAGAAAAATTGTTAGGAGCTCTATAACTGAAAGTAGGAGAAATGGATGTGCTTAGGGTTCTCATATCCCAGGTAGAAGCTTTAAACTAGATGGTCATGTATACTATATACTTATACTTGTTGAAAAGTGGAGGCTTGGATGTTTTAGTTATCTGTACCAGTACAGAATAATAATTAGCCAAAATAAAACTCACGGTAATGTTCTAAAAAACCTTTTAGATACGTCGGTCATGACAATCTATCTAACTTCCATTCTGTAAATACTAATGGCAAACTAGAAGCCATAAACTGTATGTAATTTTCCACATCCATCTTCACTTTCACCACTATCATGTGGTTTTACAGGGAGCTTTCGTTTATGTGTTCCTTTCTTGGTGCCCTATTAGTTTCAACCGTTGAAACAAAATGTTTTCCCACCTATTATTAATGAAGTTGACTGGGATACTGTTTACTCTATCAATTTGTCAGTAAAAAGCAAGAAAACATGGATATATTACAGGTATTTGGCCATAAGTACTTGTTGTATGGCGTTGCTTTTTATTAAAGCTATTGTGTAAAGTGTTTTGCCATCAATTGTAAAACTAGTCAACGGTTGTTATTCAGTTTATAAATATGTGGACATTCATCAACGCTGGTAGTTATAGCATTTTTCCAGGCACGTATTTTCTGACTATGCTTGATAAGTCTATGTGATACACTTTTTAGTATCCTATTATCCGTTGTAAATAAATTAAGTGTAGCCTGATTAAGGTATGATATCAATTTATTAGGTGTGAACCATATAGGCTTTCTAGCCGGTATTCATGAGACAGTTCTAACTAATAATTGGAGAAGAGATATTATAAATCCCACAAAAGTGAAGATATATTTACTATTTAAACATCCTTCTGGTCTATACGCTTCTTATGTTTTCAAATCTCTACTTCTGTCAGTACCACTATTTTTCTCTGTTGGTATAATAAGTAGTCTATCAGTTTAATTTCATCTTTTCGTCCTAATCTACCCTTTATTAACTAAAAGAATTCAAAAACAATTGCTCAAGAAACTGATTTCTCTGGGTGTTTTACCAGTCGCTCTATGTTACTCTTCAGATTTAATAATTAGCTGTTAGTGTCCTAGATTTAAGTAAGATCTAATGATCTTTTATTTATTGAGTATACTAATGAAACCATAAGCCCTTTTTAGCTAATACGATCGTTACAATGACCTTTTTATATTGTTTTCAATTAAATTCTACAGTATTATGCGAATAAAACATGTATTTCAAACTTACCCATTACCAAGTACTTTTCAATATTTTAATTTATGAACTCATACTATTTAACGTAGGTTACTGAAAACGTTTTATTCATGTAAGTGTTTGTCAATCCACTTCATACTGAAATTATATTTTTCGTAGCTCTAATACAATAGGTCTATTTAAATAAATGACATAGGAACAATGTTTGAAAAACTCCCTTGTAGTATAAATTATCATGACGCACCAAAAATTAGTCGTGATAGTCAGGAGAGTGCGTAACTTACAAAAATGATATTGGTTAATTGTTCATAACATCTAGTCATATTTATTTTTGTGTTATTATCTCATGTATGAACACGTTATTTTAGTAGATTGAGTAATTCTATTCTGGTAGTTGGTTGTCTTATCTTTGATATTAATTCATTCGGAGAGAGTGAGTCAATAATCAGGTTCGTTAACAATCACTCGGACACATCGCATCATAATATATTACCAATCGATTGACACGTTGTATCCATTAATCTAACAATCCTCAAACGTTTTCAGTTAGAAATCTTAAAATTCTAATCTATAACAATTTCAAGCTTATAAAGTAGAAAATAATGGAAATGTACACGGTAGCGCTGGATTAAAATTATCATTATAAAGAATTTAAATTATTCCTTTCACGTCTTATGAATGAATGATTCAAAAACTACTATTCTAATGAGATGTAACGCTGTACATAGAAAAGACAAATTAATTAACTATTAAATGTAGCCGCTTTTAATCTAAAATTTATGGATTTCATGTTCAGTACATCTGTCAGTTAGTTTATGGTATTTAATTGGGGATCAGTAAAATCTGTGACTATCTTTAAACTGTTTCTTTTTTCAACATATTTCTTGTGCAACTTAGTTTGTGTATTTATTTAATATATCACTGTCGGATTCATTAAGCAAGTTCGTGAGTAACACATATTCTCTCATTTTGTTCGGCTCTAAATCGTTTAGGCTGTTTAAGAGCCAATGGTTCGACAGTAGGATCCACGAGGGTAACACGCATATACTTCTTGAACATAAATTTATTATCCCTGTTTAGATGGAATTATAAAGCACGTTTATAATCATGTTTAAGGGTTTCTGTTGTGCATGTAATAGTGTTATATGAAAGATGACGTACTCCAGGTCATAACAATCATCTGTGCAGTCGACAACTTTTATTTCGGACGGTATTCTTGACCTTTTTTTCTTAATTACATTGACTTAACTCCTTGGCTGATGGCAGACATGTTCAATAATGTCTTTAACGATTATTCTTGGATCTAATTATTTTTCAGTAATTAGGTAGGTAACATTCATCTGTTATTAAAGACCCATAAATTGTTTGGTTGTTCTTCAAATTCGTTTTCGGTTATTATAGCTGTTTCTTAATTAGATAAGTTCCTTTTTATCCAAACCAACAGCTATAAAATTTCGAATGATCTACCCACTTTTACCATGTTCTTGAATCAACATACTATTCGGAAAGACATTACCAGGACACGGGGTTATTTGCTTATCATATAAATAGTCGTTTCATAGAGTAGTGGAAATTTGTTTACGTTGTCAAAAAACCAACTCGACAGTTTTAAAAGACCTGAAAGTATTAGTTATGTTAACCGCTGAAGGCAATTTAGTATGGTCGCACAATATCGTGAATCGACTGAATTTTGGCTTGTACGCCACTGAATACCGATTTGGTGGTCTAGAGGTTAAGTGTTCGTATGCAAGACCAAAAGTCCTGGATTTCAACCCTCGATTACGGAGTCATGGATGCCCACATCTGAAAGGTTGACGTGATAACGGCTGTTGTTTTTTCATAAATATTAACAATATTTTCTAAGGCATGGCCACAAATATTAAATAGGTAGTGGTCGGTCCAAGTATTATCAAAATGTGTGCCCAATACCTCTAGGTGCATCATATTTTCTCCCAATAATACAAAGAAACAGGATTTTAGGAAACATGATCTCTAAATGTAACCACGTTCGAAGCTGAATCTAAACCAATGATAACGTAATCGCTAGGACTTTTTATTAAGTAAACACTGGACAAACTACTGGCTTTTATATCTATCTTAAAACGGTAATCGACTGCTTCACTTTTAAATTTATTAATATTATTGAACGATAGGTTTTAATAGTGTAAAGGGAGAAGTTATGAGAAATTTACCATTGATGCAGAAGCAGATATGAACAGTAAATTTAAACCACAGTTTTTTTAACGTTATTCCTCCTGAGGAGTTCAATAATATGGTGAAACAACTGTTTAGTGCTCTCAAGTTTACAGTAGTTGTCTAACTTAGATCGGTTCATGATATCAATGAAACTAAACAATTTCTACAACCCTATACTGATCTTAAAATAGCTCACTTTATCCAAAGTAGCTTGTTCTGATGAATGTGTTACGATCACCTTCGATGCTACATATATTGCTTCATACCGTATAGTTTGAACTCATAAATTAACTTGAATATTTTTCAGTCTCACTTTAAACGTTCTGAATTTTAATTTCAATAATTACTAATTTGCTTATCTTGAACTTTTTTTATCGTATCTACCATGTACCTAAAACTGTTACCACCTTACCTACTCTTTTTTGGTAGTTATTTTTCGGTTGGTAAGATTGCGCGACGATCAAAAATAATAAGCAAATTTGTCACGTTCACTCCATAGGTTGTATTCGTAATTATTTGTGAGTTTTTTATTACTTCAATCACTAATTATTCACAACTCAATCCACGTCAAAAACAGACTGATTTATCCATCACAAACTTCTTGTTTACACAAGATAAAAAATTTTATTGGTCGAGCAGAAACGTAAAACTTACTCAGTTTCCTTTCATGAAATAGATTCTTAGTAAGTGGTCTTTTCACATCATAGTATCCCGATGATCGAATCAAATAATTTTATCCCATTTTTTGCTTACCTAGCTCATGGATTTACTTAATAGTAACCAAATTTTTAAGTTTTTATTCCATCATTTGATGTTCTTAAATTGTTTAGTCGTATTCATAGTTAATTGTATATGCGGAAGTCTATTATAAAGTTAAAGAGTGCAGCATCATTAAACAAAATTATTAAAGATAATTAATTAGAATTTCAACGAGTGGAATGTTATAAAAAGATTTAAATAAACGAGAAGGAAAATTTAATTTCTTGTTTAAAAAATTTTTTTTACTAACTAAATTGGCATTGTTTTAGAATCCATGATACTTAATGCTCATGGATACTATAAAGAAGTGAGATGCATTTTTTTGAGTTTTACGGTGTTTTTCTCTCAGTAGATTAGATTAATGAGTTTTCTGTATTTTAATGGTTGTTTATATTATATGCTTTTTGTAATTCAACCGTGTTTATTTACCGCTTTTATGTTTATTTTGTGTTAAAACTGAAGATTTACGTGTCTGTTGTTAGCAAAAGTGTAACATCTAATAATTACATGTATGATTAACTGGAAACTGTTCACAATAATGTTTGGAAAGAGAGTTTATGTTATTGTTTGATGCAGTTACCTCATTACCATGACTCCATAATAACTTGGAAATTTCACTATAACATACGATAATCTTAAGAACGCTGCATCAAAATCTACACTTTTTTTATTATATTTCTGTTGGTTATAAATTTCACTTTTGTAATATAGTAATTTTGACAAAGTTAACGTGCTGTGTTGACTTAGTTCTGCCAAATCCTCTCGGTATTACAACTAAGTTATCTACAAAGTCAGTATAAACATGATTGTCAAGTCCTATTGATCATGGTTATTACTTTTACTACTAAATAAGCTATCCGGTAATATAAAATAACTCAATTAATTTTAAACAAGGTTATTGTGTGTTACCTTTTCATTCACAGCTTTCACACCCCCTATCAGTTCATTCGTCAATCATTCAAGCATTTCACAATTAGTTTGTGATGGATTGACCCAGAGAAGAAAGCGTCATCATCGCATACTACCTAGTTATCAAGTAGCGAATAACCGTGTCTGTAATTCTACTGATTATCATGATGAATCAATCAATCGGGATCCATTCAATGTCTTTCAGGATGCTGTACAGATCATAAGTACGTTTATCACGTATCGTTCTTTTCAAATATAGATGTACATAAATTTTCAAATTAAATTTAGTGACTTTTAGCGTTCAAAGGAACCCTTTTGGGGCTAATGCCAGTCACAAGCCCAATTGAAGAAGAAGAGTTGGGCACAGGGTTACCAATCCCACTACAGAATCGTTAATTAGGAAAATCCGAATAAATACTGCTATGGGGAGAATAATCTTCAGACTAAAGTGTTGGTATGGTGATAGCCGACTATCTTAGAAAGCCCCAAGAACTACCGTCTAGGAGTTTATGTGTCTTTATTAAATACAATTGGCCAAAATTAGAACGCAATTACTGATTTATGCTTATAAGGTCAGTGTTAATTGCTTCAGGATGTACTTGACTTGTTTTCCAGTATCCACATCTATGCTGGTGACCAGCTTTTACCAGAATGTCACTTGGTTTTTTTTCTGTTTGAATCTGTTTGGCTTTGTATATCTTTGATATTTTCACTTTTTATAACTTCCCCATTCTACGTACTACTGGATAATAACGATATATACCTTTATTTTTTCCTTAGATCTTCTTGATCCGCTCTCCAAATTTTCAGTGACCAGTAGCACTGGGAACTCACAAAACTCGTTCAAGCGTCCTCGTATTGAAAGTTCTACTTCTTCCAAGGATGACTCGAACAATATATTACTATGATATCAGCCACACTGTACATTATGTCGGTTAGATCTCGTGTTATTTGATCAACGTAAAATGTTTTCATAGTTTTTCTCCAAAATTTCCTTCGTACCTCCTCAACTTCATTGAATAATTCGACTTCTATATGTTCCTAAAGCTGTTTATGATTTTCTCTTCTTCCTAAACTAGCTGACATACACGCATTTGTGAAATATTATTGGTATCTCCCTTTGTATTTAAGTGGTATATTTCATCATATGTTGTATTTCTCAAAAGTAATATAATTAGAACCCTAAATTATTACTGTACTTTCTAGTTTTAAAAAAATTTGTGATGTGTCCATTAAACCTTTTCTGGTTACCATTTACCCGTCACTCATCAGTTACTTTAAAAATAAACGTTGAGCGCAAATCAATTCATTTACTTGGTTTGTCTTGCCAACAGCTTCTTTATAGTTATTTCAACTGATCTTTATTGTCAATGAACATGAAAGAGCCTGGGGATAAGGGTGTCATTATTTAACATACTCAATGTTTGTAGCATCATGAGTTTGATGTAGAGTCCTGTAACATTTCTGCTGTGTTGTCTACTGTTAGTGTATTAAGTTTGTCAAATGGTGAATCGACAGGTCAGTCTTTAACAAACATGATTTGTTCGGATTCCAAAGTGTTGGGTTTTCAAGAGTTAGTGACTTACGAGAGTACCTATTTTTGGTATGCCTCCGGAGATTGGGTAAAGTAACGCACCATTTCTATTTCAATATAATAGTTCGTAATAAGTTCACACATTTTAATTTTAAAGACTGGTAAGATGGTCACATTGAGACAGTTTTGACAAACCGGTTTACTAGTATTGAGTATCACAAAATCAGGTGTTATCACAATGAGCAGGATATTTTTACCTTGAAAAATATGATTTGGGTTTTTAGATGTAGATATCTTCTAAGGTATCTAGTAAATTCGTTTGGAGTGTAAAAGAACGAGGTATAAAGTACTAACAGAAGTCAGCAGTGTATCATTAAGTTATTTGCTATGTTTAGTTGGCTCTCGTATCTGTATTTGTATGTCTTATAAGTTCATCCCTTGATATGTCAATAACATGATCAATTATAAATTAACGTTTAACAATTCTGATGTCAACACGGAATCTTACAGTGGCACTAAATCATGCTTATCACTAAAAGCTACTATTTTGGGGCTAAGATCAAGCAAATTCATCATTTACATGATTTGTTTAACTTAGCATGTGTGTGTTATACTTGAATGTGCTCATTGAGCTGCAACATGCAGAAATACTACTGGTCAAATTAGTGTTTTATTCGGTCGGTAGTTGTCATATTCGACGTTTAAAACTAGATAATGCACATTATTATTAACTGATTAAGAGTCTTATTCGATTTGAAAATGTGTTCTGTCTTCCTCGACATATTTCGGAAATCATATTGCTTTGCGTATCAAAATGTAGATGTTTTATTAGCTAATTTTAGTGACCTCTCGTAGCTCTTTTCTGAACTTATCCCAATATGCCATATGGTCGAGATAATAATATGGAGTAAATTTATTTGGATAGGCCTTAAGATTCTCAAATCGTTGAAATTTCAGGTCACCTAACATTCTAGAGAGAGATTTCGCCACGAAGAGTATCATTGGCAGACTGGCTTTTGACACCATGTTGGTCTGGTACAGTTCTTTCTTATTGGTATGGATAACTGATTTTCAGGAAAACGGTCACTATTAATAAACGTATTTATGCTACTAGGTCAATTGACCTAATCGAATACTGTTGACTAGCCACGATACGGATGTCGAGTCCATATGTTTTTGCATCGATATCACGTCATTTCCAACCAAATCTGCTCAATTGTGACAGTCAGAGTATCCTGATTTGTCAAAATCTTTGAAGAAGGAGGACAGTCTTGCCGACGGAATAATGTATTTGATATTTGGACGATAGGGTTGTAAGGAGATATTAACCGCCTTCATTTGCATTGAGACAGGTTAAGAATTCTAAGGGTTTGACTTCCAGTATCGTCTGGTATATCTATTTTAGAGGGCTTTCGATTGTTTGGAGATAGATTTGCGAAAATGTTTTCGCTCTATAGACAAGCTATTGTGCATACAAGATTGCTAACACTTTGCAATTATGCTTCCGTTCCATGTGTAGCACACGTCAAGTCTTCATGTGTTAGATTTCTATGTGATAATTTTTCTATCAGACTAATAAGATTTGATCCGTATCCGATTCCGATTATTCTGGATCGATTTTATACTCCGTGGTCAATGATTGTGAGCGAATACTGGTCTCTATCTAGTAGATTATAATTCAACAGTTGAGTTAGATCACGGTGATGGCAAGTTCATATTCGCACACAAGCTGTATCGCACTGATCAAATAACAGCTGCGGTCGTTAAGAGTTAGTTGTAAATGTTGTATCTACCATAGAGTGTTTGAGGAACTTTTTTATAAACCATTGCAATAACCATCCCGAAATATGTGTTATCTTCCTTATCCTATTCTGATATACGGTCTATTGCGAAAGTCTACAAACCAACATCACTCAGATACGAAGTATTCCAAACTGAATCAGACAGATATTTAGTAAAAATCACTGACTATTTATGTGTTAAAAACAATGAAAATTCCACTATGTTTTTGGTAAGAACATTCCCGGTCTTCTTTTACAGTCTCTCTTTTTTAGAGTTTTCAAGATTCGGAGACTCACTTTGCTGATAAAAGTGGCAAATGACCTGAAATTTATGAAAAGGCGTGTAGAAAATGGTCCAGTGATTTTAACAGATAAAAAATTTTCTCTTACTCGTTAAGGCACGCAGCATGTAAACAAAAGAAATCTTCGTCGAGCCACCAATTGACGACGTTCCTGCATGAATCAACGAGACATTTCTTTATTTACCTTCTTCTTTATCTTCACCAGTTATTAAATAAAGTGAGGTAAAGTTACATCCACATGGATGACTGAATCATCAACTTTCTCATAATGAGACCTTAGCTTGTTCCTTCATTGCTTCTGTTCTTCTAGCATCACAAATTTATTCGATATAGATCACACAAACGATATACTCAAGAAACAAGTAAGGGAGAAACATATATACTTGTTAGTGGATAAATGTTGTAGAAACTAACACAACTCTCCTAGACATCTACACAACAGTGGTAGCCTTTTTCGGGGCTATGGTGGATTATTACCAGGATGTATGATCGAGAACCTTCATCTAAATGTGCCCATAAAATCCCATGAGATCAAAAACCAAGTCAAATCTGATTGTGGCTATGTAACGAAATTTTTGAATACTCGTCTTCCACACTAGAAAAATATGATACGTCAACAATCCATGTGAACACTCGATCTAATCAACTTAAACAGGGTTGATGTGACCTAGCCTGGTTCCGGACAAAACTCCCTCGTTAGATCCAATGGTCGTTTGAAGGGTCGTCGAAGACTTGAGAAATTATTGCTCGTCGTGTCTCGCTATGAAACCTATGAAACTCCTCCGGGCACCAACGCCATGGATAATGAATCGAAGGTATGCATTAATAGCTGGTCAGGAAATAAGGATTATTAATAAGTCAAAAAATTCAAAACTTATGTTAATGTTTATTGGTAACATGCAGGCCCTGTGATTTTGAAGTGATTTACGGTGATAAGGATAGAAAATAGTGTCATTATGAAAGACGATCTAATAAGTTATATTGAAATATATACCATCAACAAATGAGTTTCTTTTTTGGACGAATGATGTAAATACTTTGTAGTAAGAATAATGGTTCTAGAGCTGCAGTAAGCTAAGCGAGGAATAAATTAGTGGTGAAAATTGTAATTCCGTTGACCTAAAGCACAATGCATATCAACATCGCTGGCGATTTCCCGTTCATAAACCCTTATTTCTGTTTACGTATATATCTACCAGGTAAACTGAAAGTAAAGACGCATAAGAGCAGCGAAAAATCTCAATCTAACAAGACGGCTTAAATCATACACTTCTCGACATTCAAATGGTTCAAATGGATGTGGATAGAATAGAAGCTTTCGTTTAACAGGCTTCCACGTCTAGTAGCATTGGGTCATCAGTACCTCTAGGCAGGAACCTAGGTGTATTAATGATAATAGAGAAAATGAAAATTGGTAGATCATAGTAAGATACTGTTCTTAGTCCTTAAGAATAGACCAAGCTTCCTCTTAAAGGACGCCTGAGAAGTCTCATGGACTCGAGTTCCAGCATTTGACAACTCCTGAGGAGTAGAAGTTGTGTTAGCAGTCCATTCTGCTGTGTTGTGTCTCCAGTTTCTGGGTGCTACCCCTTAGGTTTGCGTTGGAGCCAAATTAAGTAGACCTTTAAGAGGATGTCCAGAAGTGGTAAGGATACTGTAAGCTATTATGTGACCTCTAAGAAGCCTGAAATCTAACAGGTAAAGGTTTAGTGGTTGGAGACGCTCGTCATACCGACTATCTTCCGGGTATATCTTCGAACTCTTTTATTCCTGACTTCTAGTTCGACCGCTGGTAATCTTTCGGTCATAAATTTTTCATGGAAAAAAGAGTTGTCAGTTACTGAATAGTTGCGATATTTTAAATACATAAGTTTCACTTACAAATAGGCGAATGTATCTTCTAGCCAACTATCAACCTTCGAAAATATCGCGTAACGCATTCGACATCTAGAATACAAAGCAAAAATATCAATCACTCACAGTCACGCAATTAGAAATCACCCAATATTTTCTAATACCAGGCTTAACGGAAATGTATAACAAAATGTCACACAACATATGAAAAAACCTCTCATAACCCAAACTTCGGATCCAAAGCTACGTACTGATAAAACGAAACTGAAGGCCTAAATAAGTCTTTTTATAGTTCCCCCTTATGAATATTTATACTCCTCTCTAATGAGTCAATTTCAGGTGTTGACACAAATACTATAGGTCGAGGATTCTGAGAGTTGATAGTCCAGTGATGGAATCTGGATCTCGCGAAGAGTTTGTGCCATCTTAGCTTTTGGACCCACCTGTTATATTCTTTGAGTTGTCCTAATCCAGGAAAAAGATCTGACATCTCGTTTAGTACACGATGAACAGTCAAATTTCTACACTGCTATCGAATTTGGACGACACGAATAACTTTACTGTAAGAGGTAAAGAATCTAGGAATGAAGCACAGGGACGGTAACGTGAAAACTGGGAAGCTATTCGTTTTACACTTACTAATATCAAAGATATTGGATATTGAGTAATATCAAGCGGGATTTTGACCGTGTCTCGAAATGGCGGCATCTAAGGGTGCCAACACCTACAACCGTCAGAACTGGGAAGATTCTGTAAGTATCCCCCAGTGTAATACCTGCACGCTAGATAAAGTAGTAGACATATTTTTAAAGTGCGTTTAATGTTTGGGAGGTTTTGACAACAAATTTCCTAGTCTCCAA